AGGTGACCTATAGATTGGGCTGGGTGGTCTGGCCTTTTGTAACCGCTCCCACCCTCAGTTTGGCGTCTGCGATGGGCAGGGTGCCAGCACTTGCTGGGGGGCTTTGGCAGGTTCTCTCTGTTTCCCCCGACTCTCTGGGACTCCGTGTCATGCGTTACTGGGAGTGTGTAAGTGTGCGCCTGTCTCGTTCCTCCTAGGCCAGAGAAGCCCTCTCTGGGCCTTGTTTTCCCTGAGTCACAGCTGCCCTAGCTTGTTAGTTAAAAATAGGCCTGGCATACCCGCCCTGTGACAGGCCCTCCCTACTCAGGCTGACGCTGGAATGCTTACGTAAATATTTGTAGGAGCGCAGGTTGGGATCATTTCTATTCCAGGATCTTCTTGCCTTGACTCCTGGAGCAATGAGGGGACGGTGATGGCGGGAGAGTGAGGGCCAGCACGCGTTAGAAACACTCGGGGTAGCGGCACATTATTTGGGAAGTGGCTGGAGTTCAGGGTGGTTCCTCGAAGCCAGTGGGACTGGTTGGTCATTCGCCATAGGGACAGTGGCTCAGCTGAAAGTCCAGTTTGCAATCAGACTGACCAGGGTTGTTCAAACCCCATTTCCACTCCTTGCTGGCCCGTGGTCTTAGACAAGTTCCATGACTTCCCTGAATGCCAGTTTCTCCGTTGTGCATTATCTACCCTGCTCGGCCGGTTGTGGGAATTAAAATGATCACGTGTGTAAAGCGCCTGACAGGGCCCAGCATCGTTTAGCGTGGCTACTACTAGGGCACCTCTAGTCTTGCCAACTGCTGTGCCAGCAAACACTCCACCTTTGCATGGGACATTAAGGAAAGAGCTAGAGGTTCTGAAGGAAGGACACAGGAGTGTCCAAATGCATGCCCAGGCCTCTTTCCAGTGCTACTCAGATCTCATCATTGTTGGGTTCAGCCACTATAGTGTCCTTAAATCACTTCAGCAGCTGCCCAGTAGGGCTGGTAACTCAGGACTCACCAGCCGCAAGAGGACAGTAACTGAGCTTAAAATAGAAGTGTCCCTTGAGGGCTGCGCAGGCCCCTGGGGAAAGGCCTGGCAGTGTCTGCCCATCTAGGCAGAGCCGGACTCTGGGCACTGGGGCTGCAGACCTCTCCCTGTGAGGCAAGCCAGGCTTCCTTGGTTCAGAAGCCCTGAGGGTACGTGTCCTGAGCCCACTGGTTGCAGAGCCGCCCTCCGAGAAAGCAAGCCGGGGAGGATGTTGGGAGCTGGGGGTCTAGGGGTAGCCGACACCAGAGGCCTGGCAGGCCAGTGAGCTGGGTGGGTTGGACTAGTTCTGGCCTTGGTTTTGGGGTGTGAGGGAGCCACTGGGAGGCATTTTTAAAGGTGGAAAGTGAAGCCGTGCTGTCTAAGGGCAGATTAGGAGAGGCTAGGCCAGGCTATTTGGCTGATGTTTTTTGTTTTGTTTGTTTTTTTGTTTTTTTCCCATTGATTTTTTTTTTTTTAATGGGAGAGTGGCAGATAGAGAGAAAGACAGAGAGAAACATCGCAGTGAGAGAAATACATCGATGGTTGACTCTCACAGGAGCACTGACTAGGGCAGGCCAGGGAGGAGCCGCCTGCAACCAAGGCATGTGCCCTTGACCGGAATTGAACTCGGAACCCTTTGGTCTGCAGGCCGACGCTCTATCCACTGAGCCAAACTGGCTACGTCTTATATTTTGTGTGTGTGTGTTTTTTAAGGCCCCAAACAGGTCGTTGTGTCTGAATATAAGTGTGTCAGAAGCCAACCAGGGCATGCCCACAGAGCAAGGCCCACACAGAAAGGTCAAGCCCTCCCCATTGCAGGAAGATGCCCAGACGGGGCAACTTTGTGCTCAGAGCAGCATCCCTCTGCTGTTTGTACATTTTGTCTGACTGGTGCCTCCTCCCCCTGCAGGGGCCACCATGGAGTCTGACTTCTGCTGACCGGACCCAAGCAGGAGGGCACAGCCGAGACCGCGGCCTGTAGCCAGTCGCCATGGCTTCCCCCAGCACGGATGGCCAGCTCCAGAGGATCATCCGTGATTTGCAAGGTACGGTCAGGCCGTCAGGCATGCGGGTTTGGTGTGGAGGGAGCTGTGACTGCTTTTGCTTTTGCGGTTGAAGTTCAGCCCTTTCATCTGTGTTCACACGGGGAGGTGTGGGGGACGTTGATTGGAGCCCTCAGGACACATTATATTGAAATATTCGGGGCTCAGCTGTCCATCCTGTATGGCTGGGAGACCCCAACGGCCCTTCTCTCTGGGCACTGTCAGGGCACTTTGTAAACAAAATCAAATACTCCTTTCCAGGTCCGGGTCTGGTTTCTGTGTGTGTGTGTGTGTGTGTGTGTGTGTCTGTCTGTCTGTTTTCCTGGCTGAAGCACGTGGCTCTGGGCTCTCTCTGATGGAGACGGGAAAGAATATTCTCCTCTCTGAGCAGGAAGACCAGATACCAGTCTTTCTGGTTTTGCTGTCTCGCCTGCTGGGAGTGGGCAGGTAGCCTATCCTGAACGAACTCCGGAACTCCGAGCTCCGGTTGTGGGCCTGCTGCTCCTAGGCATCGCCAGGCCCAGGAACTCAGCCTGAGGGTGCACAGGAAGGCCCCTGCCACCCCGCCCCCCGCCCCAAGTGCTCAGTGCACAGCAGTCATCTGACCTCTCTGCCAGCTCCTCGTTTGTAAAATTCTACATTGTCCTTACTCTTTTTCATGTTTAAACAGCTCTGATGTGGGGATCATCTTAAAATTAATTGCATCTTAGATTTGTTGAAGTAAGGCACTTCCTGCCTCACACGGCTACATTAAAGGAGGAAGACTTGCAAAGGCCTGGCCCCTGGCTGGGCCCCGTTAACAGAAGCAGGTACTGTTGTCATTCTTGCGATTGTCACATGACTATTTGCACATTCTGGGTCTTCTTGAAGCCTGGACTTCCCTGTTCTGAGCGGTGAGGTGATAGTGAAGGGAGAGTGAAGAAACATGGCCAGAACGAAGGATAAGGCTTTCTGGCAGCCAGTGTTAGGGGACTGCTCAGTGATCCATCCACACAGCAAACATTTGTTGACCAAGCAGTATGAGGCCGGCATGGCGGGCCTGCAGGGATGGCCTGGGAAAATGCCCACCCCGGGAGCTGTTGCAAAGTGCCTGTGGGCTCTCGGGACACCTCAGCGCCTTCTGACTTGGCCTTACGTCCCTGGGGGTGGACACAGCGCTTCCCGTTTGCGAGGTGCTTTGCCATCATCGACCACTGCCGCCTCGTGCTTCCTGGTTATCCTGCTTGTCTCCTGGAGGTTGGCCTCCACCTGGTTACGTGTTCCTGTTTGTTGTCTTAAAGATGCTGTGACAGAACTAAGCAAAGAATTTAAGGAAGGAGGGGAACCCATCACCGATGACAGCACCAGCTTGCATAAGTTTTCTTACAAACTTGAGTACCTCCTTCAAGTAAGTGACTCTGTAACGTGTTGATTTCTGCTCTGTTGTCTTGTTTCCCTGATGGGCGACTTGTCAGCTTTAAGGATGTGGTCCAGGAAGCTCAGTGGAGCCATTAGGCCGTCCTGGTTAGACCGAAGGTCAGAGCAGTCCCCATCGTGACTCGGGTCTCCAAGTGCCATCCTCTGGGGATTCGGCAAGTTGCCCCTTAGGACAGTGGTTCTCAACCTTCCTAATGTCGCGACCCTTTAATACAGTTCCTCATCTTGTCGTGACCCCCAATTTCATTGTTACAAATTGAACATAACTAAAGCATAGTGATTAATCACAAAAAAATATGTAATTATATATGTGTTTTCCGATGGTCTTAGGCGACCCCTGTGAAAGGGTCGTTTGACCCCCGAAGGGTTCGCGACCCACAGGTTGAGAACCACTACCTTAGGAGGGTTTGGGAATCCAGAACATTCTTTAAAGACTTAGGTCAACTTAAGGCGGGTAAGAAGGTTTCTGTAGAGCCGGGATCTTAATTTGGGGGAGTCACGTCCCCTTTTGAAAATCAGGTGAAAGCTGTGGAATGTCTTCCCACACAAACATGCGTATGTGCACACACCAGTCACATTTTGCAGGAGCATGTGGGCCTCTGAAGGTTGTCCAGAGGCCTGTGGTAGAGCCTTCCCGCCCAAAGCATTGTGGTCCGTAGGCCAGCAGCACCAGCTCACCCAGGAGCAGGCTGGAAATGGACGCTTGGTCCCCACTCTGAGTCAGCCCAGGGAGTTTTCTTTCACACACTTGCAGCCTAATGCTTGTGTCCGCTGGTTCAAGTGCACAGACCAGGGAACTCTGCAGATGCAGAAAAGTACATCAACTTCAACAGGAAGGAAATGAACCGATATGTTAACAGAAGTTAATCTTAGGCATTATAATCTTTTCTATTTTAAAAAAATATTTTTTATTTTTATTGATTTCAGAGAGAAAGGGAGAGGGAGAGAGACAGAAACATCAATGATGAGAGAGAATCATTGATTGGCTGCCTCCTGCACGCCCCCTACCAGGGCTCGAGCCCAAACCCAGGCATGTGCCCTTGACCAGAATCAAACCCAGGACCCTTCAGTCTGCAGGCCAACACTCTATCCACTGAGCCAAACCAGCTAGCACATCTTTTCTATTTTTTAAAATCCAGATTTCCTAACATATCTGCATGTCTTCTATAGTCAGAAAAAAAATGCTGTAAAGTGTTGTGTTATTGGAAGATACACCTATACATTTTGAGCACCATTAGTTTTCAGCGTCACATCCCACCAAGGTATACAGGATGAGAGCCCGCTGGAGGGGTGCCCCAGCCTGTTAAAGGACTCCTGCCCTGTGCCCTTTCAACCTGTTCTCTGTTTTACTTTGTGAAGATATTTATGGACATTTTTTGTCATGTAGCCAGTTTTGGTTTTGGATTTGAAATGATTCATAGCTGACACTTACTTGAATTTATTGTATGTGTATTAAAACATTGATGTAACGGGTTAAATCGCACTAACTCATTTGCCTAAATTGAGACATAGTTAACACACTTCATGTTGCCCTTAAGACTTTTCACTTGTATTCCTTTGTCATAAGTTGTTATATATCTTTATCAAGGTTGTTATTAGCAGACTTTGGTGGTCTCCCACCCAACTCTATGCATAGAGATCTCTTGAAGAGATAAATTGGGGGGGGGGGGCAGGGGTTTCTATTCCTGAACCTTAATAGTTGTATGACCTCGAACCAGTTATTTAACCTCTCCCAGCCTCAGATCTGTAAATTGGATTAAAGCACCTTCATTTGATAATAAATAGAAATAATGCCGTAAAGGGCCTTGCCCAGTGCCAGGCAGCCAAGAAGCTATTGTTAGTTATCATTTAATGAGATGAACGGCAGTGGGTCTGGACCGCCTCTCTCCTCCTGGGCAACAAGAAGGACTACTGGGATTACTTCTGTGCTTGCCTGGCCAAGGTGAAGGGCGCCAACGATGGGATCCGATTCGTCAAGTCTATTTCCGAGGTAAGTAGAGCAGCCAAGGACCCCACGTCTTCCTGTCACTGGTCTTCAGCGTCTCTTTACAGAGAACTCTGCTGCAGACAGTCAAGTGAGGAAGTGGTGTTACGGGTGGTGAAGTTAACACATTAGCCCAGGTACACTCAGTGCCCACTGTTGATGCAGGGAAGCCGCCCACATGAGCCTTCACCCAGCCGAGCCTGTTACTAGACCGCAGCCCACACTCACAGCGGGCTGTTCACACTGTGGTCGGCCCATGGGCCCCCGGAGGTGTACAGCACCTGCTGAAAGTGTCAGTTTCTTAGATAAATTCTTCATGTTTGCTGGGCTGTTTGCCTGCAGGTTTTCCAGAAACCTTAGATTTGAAATGAGAGTGATGTGGGATCTTAAGAGACATTAAATGCCGGTGTGCTAAGCAGCTTCCCACGTTAAGTGCTGAGCCCCTAGAGCAGAATGCCGTGGCTCCTCTGTTTTGCAAAACTCCAGAACAATCTCTCTGTCTCTCCCGAGTCTCCCACTCCCAAGGAATCTCTTTTTCTCTCATACGCCTAGTCCATCTGAGAGTAAGAACTTTACATATTAGGGAGCAAGTGACCCCCTGGATTTAGAGCAGGAGGCCTAGAGGATTTGGACATTTCATCTTTTCAGTGTCTTGTCTGTAAGTTTAAGGATACTTTAAAGGCAGCACCGTGCTCCTTGGCTGGCCTCCTGCAGAGACCGCAGAGTCAGGTGCTCCCGGGAGAACTCCTTTCCAGCGCTGGAGCCAGCTGGTTTCTTCTTATAGAGAATGACAGATACGCTGGCATGAGGGCTGGGCGTTTTCCACCAGCTGCACCTCTGACATCTGAGATCATGAAAGATCCCAACTTGAGGAGTTTGTTCTGCCAGTGTCTTTCATGTCCGTGTAGCGCAGACGGGTCTTGTGAGATCTTGCCTGGTGGGCCACTGGGGTCTGTGATGTAGAGCATGCTTGCTGCACCCCAAATCTGGAGGGGGTGTTCAGTGTTGCCCTCCTCTCCATACGCTGAGGAGTTCCCTTGCACTCCATCTCCCGCTCCTCACAGCACCTGGGCCTGCGACCGCTGACCTCCAGCAGCTCAAGTCTGGAAGTACGTTTAGTTTAGTCCTCATGGCCCCGGGTTATGAAACGCCTCCATCTGCTCTTTAGCTGGTTCTTATTCTTTACTCACAATTGCAGTCCAACCTTTCGAGGCCAGGAAACTGTCTTCTAGAAGCAGGAGCGTTCCCTGCTTGCGCAAACATTGTTGGGTTTCTGGTGACTGACATAGGCCCCGCCGCCCAGAGGGTGCAGTCCTCTCATCTGTTGAAGACTCTGCTCTCTGGGCACCACTGAGCTTGGGATGTCACTGGCAGGATGGGCTGCTGGGCTTGGGTTGACTTTAATCAACAATCAGGTGCCATCCCGGCCAATAAGCCAGAAGGTAAAAGTTCATGGGCAAGAGCATTGTCTGGGCCCCTCTGGCCCCTTTGGGCGGAGGCAGCCATGTGGACCAGAGCAGTCGAGGGCTTTCACCCGCCACTTCTAGAGGTTCAGGATGGGCTCACGCTGGGCTCTGCGTCTCCCCACGAAGGGCAGAAGCAGAACCTGCCTTCAGCTTGGTTGTCAGGCTCCTGGCACGTGGCCCGCGTAAAGCGGAATCAGCTCTCATGTACCTTGCAGACTTCCTGTCCTCGCTGCTGCTGTATCGCTTCCTGATAGACTGCATATGGTCTGATTGATTGCTAATAAATTTCAGGAATTAGGCCATAAGAGCGGACCCAAGATCTTAAAACGTAGAAAATAAAATGGCTGGGCAGTATTTTCATTTGTAATACAAGGGAACCACTGTTCTCTTCCCTAACGGATGTTTAAAAAGACCTTAAAATAAATAGCTCCCTTTCTGTATATAAAATACATTCCATTAATGGGCCTGGTTAAAAACAAGACTCACGTGTTTTCCATTAAAAGGGTAAATGTCCCAAATGCTGTGACAGTGGCCGTTTTGCTCCTAAAGACAAGCCGCTCCCTGGGAGCTCACAGACACGGAAAAAAACACGCTTCGTTTCACCGCACCCGGCTCAGCTGTTCTCGCTGCCCGAGTTCCCTAGCCGTCACCACTGGACACTTTGTTCTCACTTCACTCATCAGTGGCAGAAGTGCTTGGACATAGTGATGTCATCAAGATTCCCCCTGGGCATCTATCACGGCCAACCGACTGTAGACAGGCCACCCACCTCCCTTCAGGCATCCTGACTTTACCCCAAACCCACAAAGCTGACATGGAAAAATGTCTTACAGCCTTTGTGATTATTGAGGTTTCACACCTTTTTATTTTTTAAAACGACTTCATGTTGTGGTATCATCTCCTTAAGTCAACCGTGAGAAGTCGGATAGCTCTGAGCTAAACAGTGCCTGGCCTTCCGGAGCCGAACCATCGGTGGTATGAATCCTGATTTGCAACTGGTCTCACGTGTCTTCTGTGGCTGTCCCCTAGGTCTCGTCCATCTTGGCTGCTGTGTGTCCCCAGCTGGCAGAGTCTGACCAGCACTCTCCCTCTCCATAGCAAGCTTCCAGAAACCTTTAGAAACCATGTTTTGTTACAGTGGGGAGAGGTTTCGAAGACAGTCCTGTACCCAGGCCCTCCATCTAACTCCTCCACCCTGAAAGAGAACTGTGCTCCTTTTTCATGACCCCCGCATAGCTGGGCCACCTAGACGCACCCCTGCCCCCCTCCGCCACCTGCTGACTAAATGCAGTGAGTTGGTGTAGCTGCAAAGAAACCCACCAGGAAAGTGTCGACGATGCGTGCACTTCACTGCTGGTCTCATGAGGGTGCAGAGGAGGCAGTTATACAGTCATTAGAACTTCTTAGAAGTCCCCTTACACAAGCCTGCCTTTGCCCTCCTCTCTCCCCCTCCACAAGGGCTCCAGCCAAGCCCGGTAGGCCTCTTCCGCCAAACAGCCCAGACCAGCCACGCTGACCAGCTCGCTCAGGCTCACTTCTGGTGTGAGAAGTCCGTTTTCGGCCTCCAGGTTTCATTCTGAGTATTCCAAACTAAATCATACAGTTCTTCTCTGACTCCAAACCCAGAGACTCCGATGGAGTAGAACCCACAGGTGTTCGGAGCCTGTGAACACATCTTTCTGAACCTGCCTATAGGTTATTCCACAGGTTATTCTTGGAGGGAGGCCCAGAAGAAGGGACCCACTTCAGGCTTCGCTTGGGGGGTGATGTTATCAGATGTTTGTGTCCTTTGAGGGACATGAGTGAAGCCGGTGTACAGGGTAGAACTGGGTGACGTTGTCTGTGCTATTTCTGTTTTATGCAGGCCATCTATGGGTGCTCACAGACATGCGCCATTATGACTTAGGCTAACAGTTCTGCATCCGCATGTCATCTTTTTCCAGCTCCGAACATCTCTGGGGAAAGGAAGAGCATTTATCCGCTACTCATTGGTGCACCAGAGGCTGGCAGACACCCTGCAGCAGTGTTTCATGAACACCAAAGTGACCAGGTAAATGCCGACAGCTCTGGCTTGACCCTGGTCCATTCACAGGTGAACCCAAGTGCCCTGGTGAATGTAATGACACCTGCGGCTGCAGTGTCTGCCCTTGTGGCACAAGCAGTGCCCTCCCACATCTGTCATCCTCACGTGGGGGGCAAAGCACTAAGTGCCCCCCCTCCTCGCCCCCAGGCTCCCCGTGCTGAGTCTGAGTCCTAGAGCAGGAGCGTGGGTGCAGATTGACAAGCAGTTTTCCCTGGGGGTGGCATGGCCTTGGCAGGCACTAATGAGTGGACACACCCCACTGGTCTTCCTGGCCTGTCTGCAGAATCACCTGTGGGGTTTTGAGCCCCACTGAGCCTGGGCCTCACTGAGGTAACCACCTGCCAGGCATGTCTGGGCACCCTGGAGGTCATGATGGGCACCGGTGTGGGAACCTTTGTGCCACTAGTGATGACCCCTGGGGTGGGGGAGGGGTTGAGTGTGTTAAGCAAGTGGAGTGAGTGTGTCAGACCAGGACCCCTCTTCCAGCTCTGCCTCCCTCTCCCTAGGGAGCGTGCCTCCAGGTAATCAAAGAAATCATCGCTGAATAAAAAAAAAAATAGGACTGTTGGGGGAACATGCTTTGTTTCATTTTGTCACCTTTAAGATGGATTTGCTTAAAGGTGTATTTCTCACACAGTGACACGTGAGGGGCTTTGTGAATGCATGTGAGGTGAGAGAATCTTCACACATTGGATTTGCAGGCTGTTTAGTTCTAGTCTTTGGTGAGAACAGCTTGGCTTCCAGTGTTTAGGAAGCCAAGTTCATGGGCATCAGCCAAGTAGCTCTTTAAACTCAGCAGTGTGTCCTTTTAAATTCTTCCTGCTCCAGGAAGTGAACAGCGGACACCTCACAGTGCAGATCTTTTGTTCTTTGTCTTTTAAATTGGTGTCAGGACAGAAATTAGCGGTGAGGTCAAAGTCCTGTAATGAATTCTCCAGGAGGAATCGCAGATGAGACAAAAAGGGTGTTCTGTCCCCTACAACTACCCTTTCTGGGCAAGTAATTGAGATTTAAGGTTTCTCATATCCTTTTTGAGAAATAGATCTAACAGAAATAATAAGTGTACAAGTATCTAGTTCATCTCAGGAATTTCTGTGAAGAGCAGGCTTATAGGGGAGTTAGGAGCTGCAGTGAAAATCCCATGGGGTGGGGGGGCGTGTGTCTGTCTGTCTGTCTGTCTGTTCACTTTAGTAGCCTGTGTTAGAATTGGAGGGGGCAGCGCCATGCTGAGAGCACTCAATCC